GGCGTTTCGTGCATCTGTGTGCCTGCATGTAATTGGACAGGAGAAGAGTGATGCGTTTTCTGCGAGGGTAGAGAAGCCTGGAAGTACATTGAGTCCAGGATGATGCCTAAGAACTCGATGGAGGTTCTAGACCTCTTATTCGGACAGAGGGATGCCAAGGTTGGAACTTTTTTGTATGAGTGTGTTAAGCCTATCACGAGGGGGAGAGGATGGTGGAGTGACGACGAGAAAATCGCCGAGCAGATGGAGCACGTAGGGGAGTCTGTGATTGTTTGTCAGAATCCAGTGTCATAATGTGCATAAAGCCATCTTGTAAGAAAGTGGGATGTATGTTTAAACCTTTTTGTGACTGTTGCATGTTATATATCGTGATTTTAATGTTGTTGTGCGCTATCATAGCGATGAACTCTTGTTATGTATAAATATTTGCATGCTTCCTTAACCTCCTCCACGAACTGTCCTGACAAAGACACACAGACACGTTGCTAATTGACACACCTGAACCCAGTTAAAATCACCGATCTCATTCGCCAGTTGCCGACTCCACTCACCTATAAAAACGCCAGATTACCTGCTGGAAGTCTCAATGTTTTTTCCCGACAGTTGCTAACTTGCCCTGTCGCAGATCGGACCGGATCAGATCCCGCTTCCTCCTCTCGCCCTGGTGAAGCGGCCTCCAACCATCATTGTTTCAACGCTCGCTGAACTCCAAGCTAAGGGAAGTGATTATTTCCTCCTTATTGAGCTTGTGTTTTATGTCACTGAAGTTAATTTGGTTTACCCTGAGTGCCCTTTCTGTGTACCGAGGGCTCAATGACCAGAGGGTCGTCATTAAGTGGGCTGGACTATTGGTATTTTTGAAACATCTCCCCTGAACTATTGCTTAGACGTGTTGAACATTATTTTAACCGTATGTTATTTAAATCGTATTTAATTAATACCTATTGGACTGATGCGAAACACAGGAAAGGGAGGATTATCGAATGGGCCTATCATGAATCCTTTGATTTCTTTAGCCAGTAAGATGTCGACTGTGTGAGGTTCTTTTAAAGCGGACTGAAGGTTGTGGCAGATGTGAGATTTGTTGGGGAGTATTTCTATACCTGGGTGGAAACCGTGAGTGAAGCCATTGATGAGAAAGTATAAACTGTCTATCAGGATGATTTTGAAATGCAGTAGCTAGGTCATTTACCTTAACGGGTGTGCCGTTCTAGCTAATCTGCTGGTGTGGTTGGGTTGTGGGGGCAGGTGCTCCTGGCATGAGCGCCGCCACAGAAATAGCAGACATGCATTAGGCGGCTGCTAGAGGGAGAGCAGCCTAAGTCATTCAAAGTATTGCACACCATCCTGCCGCCCTGATAGAGAATTGTCCTTCCTCGTCTGTCAACACCCATTGAAATGGGGGCGTTGGCTGAGGAACGTTTGTTTGCGGACCTAGGGATGATGGGGGTGTGGCAGGTGATACATGGTTGAAGACTGAGGCATTGCGTGTTGAAGAGGGAAGTGAGCGAGGTGGTTGGAGTGGTGGAGCGCTGACTGAGCATGCTGAGGCCAGGTGGGAGGGGGCTCCGCATAACTGGCAAGAGAGGGATGCTCGTGCTGAAAAGATGCAGCAGTAAAGCTCAGAGTCCAAAGCGCCCCAGTATGTTCCCTGGTTGAAATGTTTAATGCGGCCGGCAGCTTTACTAGCGAAGTGAATGTGGTAGGTGTAGAAATCTGAGCCTCCGAAATGTAAGGCCGTGTCAATATTTGATAAGCATGTAGCATGGCCCCTTGGGTTGCTGGATGAGGCATTGGTTAAACAAAGTTAGCTGCTAAAGGAGAAAGGTAAGCAGAAGGCGGGTTGCTGTGGACTGCTGAATTAGAGAAGGTGGAGGGATGAAGGGATGTATGTGCAAGGGGATTGTGTGAGGCCTGTGAGCACAGATATGATGACACACACATGTTCAACTTGTAGTCCTGCTCTGTAAAAAACTGCTAGTTCTGCTTAAAGGTGGGGTAGGTCATTCACTTCAGAAACACTTTTTGTTATATTCCATGGAATGCTCTTAACATCCCGATAGCAATGAATACATTAAATTTAGCCCGGCTAAAATAACTGGATGGCCTACCTGCCTGTCAGCCTTCCATCTCGTGCACAAACTTATCTCGTGCCCTCATTGGTCATGTGCACGTTTGTGTGTGTTGGAGGAGGGGCTCTGTAAGGAAGTCTGAAGGAAGGGGCAGATTTTTTCGGCTGCGTAGTTTCAAATTCTAGCGCACTCGTTGGGATATTTTATTTTTTTAAATCCTCTGGAGCAGAGAGAGGAGCTGTGGGTTATTGATTAATACATCGGTGTTTCTTAGGGTCAAAAACACTAAACTCATAACTTAAAGTGGACCTATCATGCTATATTTGAATAATATAGTGTAGGACCATACCTATATAAGGCATATTTATACTTTTTTTTTTTCAAAATACCAAACAGATCATGCATTTTAGCCATGCCTCATTTTGCTCAATTTGACATTTTTTAGCTCCGTTTGTGCAAGGGCAGATTCAGTGAGAACAGCACAGTAGTGAAAAGTGACAGTAGATAGATTAGTTGCAATTTGGTGCTATAAATATGTATTATAAAAAAACAAAAAAAATAATTACAAAAAAACAAAAAACAAAACCTTGAATTTCAGGGGGGGCGCGGAGCTCCGTTGGCGGGGCGCAGTGCCCAGTTAATGGGGTGGCAGGCTACTTCACATGACACTAGGGCGCAACCAAATACTCACCAGGTGCAGTCACAGCAAACCACACAAAGCAAACAGGTCACTCGCGCATGCTCCCCGGTGCTCTTCACCACAACAAACCGTGAGGGTGACTAGCCCCCCCCCCCCCAATGACCGGCACTCAGCTCGACTAAAATAAAAACAAACAACTGAAACAAGGTTAAACAAAAATGATCCCAGTTGGTTAAGTACTGATAAACAGGAAGAGTATAAGTGTAAGACAAATGCAAAACTAATCAAAATACAAAATCAACCAAAACACAGTAAACAAACAAAACTAAGCAAAACAAAATGTGTTAACGGCATAAACAAAAATGACTAAGTCAAGAGAACAAAACAGCAGCAGGTGAACCTAAAAGCAATAGTTAAATGAAGGTTACAAATGGCTCTCCATGTGGCATACAAACAATTCAGGTTCTGCCCTACTCACCAGGAAGAGGTTTTAGAACCTTGCTGAGCTTCAGGAATCTGCAAGGAAGCAGCAAGTAAGCATAAAATACTAGAAGAAACGAGACAACGTATCCTACATTTTAGTTATGCAGGACCTGTACCACCGACCATGAAAGGAGAGCCAAGGGACCCAGGTGCCTTTTATACCCTGCTCTAATGAGAGGGGTGTTTGGGGGAGGAGTCAGGCCTTGAGTTGCCTTCAGGAGCACTACTCACTACACTGGCATGCCTGAAGATTAGGGAGTCATTTTCAGCACAGTGTGTAAGCAGAGAGAAAAGAAAGTGGTTTCTGCTGAGGTCTGTAATGGACCTGTAGGCATTGCAAATAAATGATCATGCTGCCCTTTCACAATTGGAGACTCTGTTGGTTCTGTCATTAATTTTAAACGATGAACTCTACCTGAGACAGACAATTAAAACACTGAAATCCTGTCTTGAGGTATTCAGTTTTACATGTTGGTTTGTTGTGGGAAGGTCAATGTTTTATCTGACACATCTAAAGATAAGAGTGAAAGATACATTTGAGATCAGACTTGTATATCATTTATTACAAAATTATGTTATTTTTTTTAAATAGATTATGTTGGTGAAAGACCTATACAATTTTTGGGATCACATCTTTATTTATTACAATCAATGGGCTGCAAGCTATTTGCTGGAAAATAAATGTGAGAGATGAGAAAAAACTGACATGGGTGTGCATCTCAAAGTGAAACATCTAAAACATCTACTTTTTAAAAATATAGATCTTATGACTGATAGAAAAACGAGGTAGAAGCCTGTAAGCCTGGTCCTGCATGTGTTGAATTCGACATGTGGAAGATGTCTCCTATTTATCCCTCTAGAGAGATCTAAACAGCTTTGACTAGATGCTTTATCACCAAAGTGCCACAACAACCTTTTGTGAGACTGTTAGTGATTAAAGCCTAAATATTATATTAAGATATTGCCCCAAATTACCTATCTAATGACCTACGTTTGCAATAATGTTCTATCATGGTACAACTTTGATCATTGAAAAATGTTTTCCCTTTAAACTCGTCAAATTCATGACTTGACTTGCCACTGTAAAATCCAATAGCAGCCGGGTTCTGTGAAGGCATTTCATTTAGTGGGAAAGCACTTTAAAATAAGATTTACAACATGTATCATTATCATTAACTGCTCCAATTTCAATTGTTTGTATATGGGGAATAAACAGTATTAAAAAAATACATTTTGCTTGACGAATCTTTTCTTCTTTCCCTTTTTTCCCTCCCGTCTTTCTGCATCACAGATGTATGTTTGTGTCTGTGCCCTGTGTTAAGAATGCATTGATCATGAATGTGACAACATACTCAATATTGGTGCACGCCCCCTTTACCGATTTTATAGATCGATGCTTGATCATGTGTATCTAAAAACTGCCAGCCCTCAGTTCTCTGCTCTCTTCTCTCCTTTCATGACCAACTAAAATAAATCAATGTACCACACCATCAAAGGCCTAGCTGTACTGTAACATCTTCATATTGTATCCAGAGGACTTCAGTGATGGAGGAGTCTGCACGCTCCTCTCTCCACTGATGTGATGAGATCCTGTAGTGACTGGGGAGAAGCCTGCAGCTCAACGCGAATGTTTCCTGGAGAACAGCATCAGATCAGCCGGAGGGACGAACCCTGGAGAGGGATCAGACCAAGACGACTAGACAGAGCGCACTCGAGTCAGCAGGGAAAAACCCTCAGAGTTTGAGTGAGCTTTCAGACAGAATGAGGGTACATACGGGAGGGAGAAAGAGAGAAAAACAATGTTGTTGGGTTACACAGTTTATTAAAATGTGGTTACAGTTGACATATAGAAACATTAATACAAAATAACAATAGATCCAACAATTCAAATATACAAAAAAGATACAAAGTAAATCCGATATACATAACCCGCCAAAAACTCTAGATGAAGGTTGATAGAACGTACTGTATGAAGTATAGTAATTCAAGTGAAACGTGTTGCTGCTGATGTAAGGGTGATAAACAACTAAGTTGGACCCTTTCCCTGTACACGGGTATCATAAAAACATTTAACTCTCTGTTGCAAGGCTGCTTTTATGTGTCTGTCTGTGATTCTCTAGTGTTCAAGGTATTTGTTTAACTAATGAAAGCCTTCACAGTGCTATTGAGAAACGATGTGAACAAATTGGAGCAATTCCAAGATGATCACATAAAGAGAGACTGAAAGGAGTTTCAATCATAAGCAGAACAATAGTTTCAATTGTACAGGCTTGGATCTATAACCTCCAGAACAATGTGCCAGGGTTACCTATTGATAACGCTTTGAAAGGCTGTGATCTCTTTGTGTTTGTCTCAATTCCAATTTTGTTGCGGCTGTTATTGTGATGGTCTCTACGTTAGCAGAGCTTTCTCACTGCCGTCTTCTGGATCCGTTCTCTCCCAGCCCTGTCGAATGCGTGTGAGGCTGCGGTCCACGCAGGGTAGGAGGAGCAGCAGCTTGAGCACAATCAACACAGAGGGCACCACCAGAGATAGGAGGTAGCCCGGAGGAGTGAACCATTTGTACGAATAGGGATAAAGGAACCTGTCCCAGCCGTACAGGTAAGTGTGAAAAGTACAGAAGAACACCGTCAGGTATCCCAGCTTAGACTAGAAGAGAGAAAAAACTGTTAGATAATCGCAGATTCACATATTTACAATATAAACATAGAAGTCATTATTGTGTAATAGGCTCTAATCATTACAAAGACAAGCTTTTGACATACACATCTGCTTTGAGCATAAGTGTTACGTAAATGAATATCATTCAACCATTGTAGAAGGTGCATTACAGGCACGTAGATTCAGTCCACACAAATGATCTGAACCTAAGGACTGTGGGGATGGATGATGTATGCCTCCCAAATTACAGTTGATGAATAACTTAACATTTAAAGCACTGCTCTAATTTGGGTTGGAGTAAAGGGAGGGTTGTGGAATGAGAAAATTAGCTTGGCATGACCCAGTTACATTTATGAATGCGATTGCTTCTTATAGTTTGGCTGATTTCATTTTTGATTGGTCAAAGTGGAAGAAGAGGTAAACTTCAAAAGAAAAATCGAAGGAATGATGGAAATATCCCCAACATGCTTTCAACAGATTAGTTCAAATTAGAAGTTATCCGACCCACTCTCACTGTTTTCCATTTGGGCAGAGAATCGTCCTCATCCGTCATAGCGTGAATCTTGGCTAATGTACATGAGGTGATATTGTTGCGGATATTTTTTCTGCCTTTTTTCACAAACTTTAAAAGTCCAGTAGGTTCTCTGCACATGTACACACATTCACACCTATGTGTACTTCCAGTGGGCAAATTGTGTACGGATACACACCTAGCCTATTTAATATTATGAACATGTATCTCTGTGTTAACTGAATCATCAATCTGGTTGTCATTTGCAGCTTTTCAAGGGCACAGTGTAGAGGTGAGACAATCAGTTGTCTCAAATTATGTTTCCCAATGAGCTTGTTTAGTAATTTTATCAAGAGCTGATTCATGAAATATCATCAAAATGACTCTATAATAACCAACAAAGTGCTTGTTTTTCATTCATTCAATATTACTTTATGTGGACTGAGAGTGCATGTGAAATCTCTTGGCTACAAAGGGTGTGAAGTTTTTTTAATTAAAATAGTAGTGCAACATTTAAGTGCAAAGGCAATTTGAGAGTGTACAGTACACACATGTACCTTTTAAATTGTTTTGCTGATCAAGTTTTGAAGATGTGAACAGAATACAATAGCAGCATTTTCATTTTAGGTTTGCATCGGTTATTTAAAGATCTTGTAAAAACACTCAGCACAAACAAGGGAAAAGCTGTTAGGAAGATTACTTGGGTGACCATGGGGCCAGCACCAGTGGAAACTGTAATAAAAAACTGCATTCCTCCAGTTTAACCACCAGTATGTTCACTGTGTAAACAGGATGCAGAATTCAGCCAAATGTTGGCAGCTGTGAAGCATCCTGCACAGCAACTGAAGCTCACACACTAACACATCCAGATACCCACATATCATATGACTCGGACAGACATGCCAGTATCTACCTGTATGAAGCTGAACTCTCTCCAGCTGAGAGCATTGCTGACGGAGGGGAGAGAGCTTATTCCCAACAGGACATACAGGCCAAATCCCAGAATCCCCATAGAGTAGTAAGAGTCTGCACGCCAGGCCCTTGTGGTGTCAAACACTGACGTTCTGTTCTCCCTGATCTTAAAGGGGAAGTAAACAAGACAGAGAGATGTTTATAGTTGTACCGTTTCTGTACTAAAACAGAACAGCATCATGCAAAATCATCTGATGTTATTGTTGTATATTGTTGTTCTTTTTGATGCAAACTCAAAGCTTTAGATTTATCAAACACACATATTTTATAGCTATAATATCTATGTCTTACCTGTGAGATGGTACTTTCAGAAATCCTGAATCTCACATAATATCTGTGGAAGATAGTGACACAAATATTTGGATAAAAGAAAGTAACCAGAACAAAAAAAACTAATGACTAATGACTACCTCTAAGTTGAAGTTGTCATTATTTGTTTTGGTTTTACAACCAGAATGAGAAAGCACAATTTTCCGATATTTAATAAAAAGAGTATCAGTGTACATCTCTTACAGACCTTATGGGGATGATGAGAGTGTACAAAACATGTAGAAAAGCAAAGCCAAGTGCTATCAGTCCTAGCTGTTTCCTGCACAGCATCCAGCGATCCAACCAGTCAGGAAAACGCCTAAAACAAGCAAACTTTAAATTGTAGGATTTAAATATATTGGAAATAATATGATCGGGCACTGAATTACAGTTCACCCATCCTTATTTGATTCCTTACCTGTACTTGGTTCCTCTGTAGAGCTGAAGGAAGGCAGCTATGACACCAGGCAGGTAACACAGAGCCAGCATGATGAGAGACACAATGGGAAACACCTGAAAGATGGGTTAACACAGAAGTGGTTACTATGAGAACAACCTGCCCCACTAAAGGTTACTTTCAAGGACAAACACAAATTCACACACCAAACAGTCTTTACCTTGTTGGCCAGGGACACCATGATTCTGAAGGAGATGTCTTTCCCTTGTTCAACATACGTGTAAACAACATCTCTCATAAGTAAGTAGAAGAAGAAGAAGGCGGTGAGGCCGACAGCCACGCGTAGAGGCAGCCTCCACTCTGGGAACAGCTGCAGGGGAAAGTCCTCCAGCTCTCCAGCCGCTGACAGAGACCCTCTATCCAGAGCAGCAAAGCCCAGTTTGGTGGCCATCTCTTCTACTGCCTGCTTTGCCTGGACACTGTTCCCACACAGGTACACCTGGAGCAATTCAAAACAACCCATGGCTTTTAAAAACACTTGAAATGCCCCATGTAAGCGGTATATGTCTTTATTATTTCATGTTTATGCATTTATTATTATGTATTTGCACACGCAATGATGAAAGGATGGTTTTGACTCCAGAGGATTCAACATAAAAGTACTTGGAGAAGCTTTCAAAATGAAATACTAAATGTAGCTGAATAAAGCAGGTAAAAACGAACAACAATTCCCAGTCAACACATGTGATCATGCAGATTGTGCTCTAAATACACCAACTCACACATACATAAACATACACCCCCACAACACACACACACGTTTTTACAATCCTCTGGGATTGCACAACAAGATCAAAATGAAACCGAAAAACCCACATATGCTGCAGCTTTGCAGTACAGAGGGAGTGAGAAAAGCATGTGATGGCGAGCTTAGATCTAAGAGAGACTGTGGAGTTAATTGATTCAAGGATACATCAGAGATGGCATTCATAGCAAAGACACGAGGCTGGCGCCTCAGATTTGGCTTCTTTAACTTGAATTTTGTTTGATTCAAACTTCAAAATGAGTTAATAATATCATTTGGACTGAAATGGTTTCCGTTCTGAAAGAGACAATTCTTTTTACGTTATTGATCAACGCCCCACTGTGCGGACACATCCTAAAATTATAAAATGCTTGTAGTTCTGCAGTGGGAAGAAGAACAATTTGAACAATAGTTTATATCCAAGATGAGACATGTCACTATCACAACAAATATTCCTGAAAAGCAGAAAAAAAGGTGCTTTTACAATTTTTGCAAGTGTCAAATCCACTACAAGATATTGTTTTAACAAATCACACATTCACTACCTGTCTGTTGGCATCCGAGGGTCCGTTCTGCAGGGACCAGGCAGACAGGGTGTTAAAAGCCTTCACCACGTGAGCTCCAGGGATCAGCCTGGACAACAAACAACAAACTGTTTCGTTTGATGTGCCACCAGTTGTTGGTGATGCGAACCACATGATCCATGAGTTCCCAATATTTGAGGTAATTATATTACTGCCTGATTTCCCACTCACCTCTGCAGATACTCAGCATTGGACTCTGGGTATAGATTCTTCTTGAGGTTGTTGCTGACGTCCACCAGCACCTTCCAATCGATGAAAATAGCAGAGTGGATAAAAAGTCAGAAATTGACCAACTGCTGTGTCAAACACAAGCCTCTGACTCTACAATAAGTTACCTTCTCCTTGAGCTGAGGTGCAAGAGCCTCCAGGAAGTCATAGTTTTCTCTGTGAACACAAACAAACACCAGAGCGGCTGACATGGCTGCTGCCTCGTGGTTCATCGCCTGCACAACACACACAAACATTATTGTCATGCATGGCCATATCATGATGAAAAACACCTATTATTAATATTATTACATGCTCAGTTCACTGGTCATGCACATATCCCACGACAGATTAACACAAATCACAGCAACATGTGCAGACAGACATGAACACACACTTTATCAGTGACCTTGATCAGCTTATATGACACTCAAAAACATTGTTTTATTCTTCCCAAACCTGTGTATGCACTTTGACTTGTATCAACAAAGTTATTTGAGTTGGTTCAGGAACATCATGCAACACATTTCCTGAAGGATCAGCTGTCGATTACAACCACTACAATCATCAAAAAGAAGTTGATCCAGACGTCATGCAATGTGTTGTACCTTAGTTCCCCGAGGCAAGGGGCCACAGCTGTTAGGTCTGCGGCTGCCATACACCACCCTGTAGCCACACTGGAGCAGACGCTGGCCCAGAGATCGCCCGAGGTCCCCAGTCCCAAAGATACACAGCAGCTTCTGCTCAGGGGCAGCTGTGGTGCCCAGGGGACACAGCAACACGCTCTCTGGCTTCACCTCCTTCGACACGCTGCTGTCAACCGACATGGCCACAGTCTGACACAAACAGTGATGATATCTCCTGTGGTTCTGACACAACAAAACACTCCACCAACTTTTCTGTCAAAACGTTGAATGTGTCCAGGGTCAAGTCAGATGTAAGAAAATAATAGTCTTCAAAATAATAGCTCTTGTTGCTGCGTCTGGAAAAAAGTGTCAGCAAATTAAGGGTCTGCCCCTCAAGCCAATGTGTCTGCTCTTCTAACTCATTACCCCAAAGACTGACAGATATTTCCAGCTTTAGTCAGTTTTGTATTATCCCCTCCCATTCTTCAGGGTGAGGTCTGTCCAAACTGGGAAACTCCATGGCGAAAGGTGGGAGGTATCTGTGTCCCTGCTGGTAGGGGGGTCAGGGAAAGCTTTCTCTGTACAGACTCTGTGTTTGTCGATGACTGTGTGTGTTTGTGGGAGGCTGAGAAATATTATGGCACAGTTGCAACTATGCCTTCTTCTGGGAAATCGTTGGATCAACTGTGGCAGATTATGTAACATTGGAAAACCACACTTAAACAGCTTGCCAAAAATACTGAGGATTTTCCAGGTTTCACCAAATCTCTACTATTACTGAGAAACACACACATTTACTGGCAGTAAGTGAAAGTCCTAGTTAGTGTGGGGACATAAACTGCACATCTAAAAAACAAAACGTGCTGTGACTGGCGCATTGTGACACAGAGATGTATTAAATTGTAGCTTATTTTATGTCAGTTGCTCCAAGACCAGTATAGCAGGTTTAGGCCTCTTTACACAGAATTAAAACTAAGCAATACAAACAAAAGTAAACCAGTGTCCTAGATAAGGTGCACTGACTTTAGGTTTTCTACAAACACTCTTTCCTGGACTATAGGTCACGGTTAGCAAACACAATGTGCTGGAATGCTCCCAACCCCCTCTTCTCTTCCCCTGCATGATCTCCATTAAATGACCATAAAATGCACATGCCTAACCAAGCGCATAATTACTTTGACATGTGTGCAAAACAAATAACACACATTTTAATAGCAGGAGGGTATTTGCCTTGTGAAAAGAACCCAATCCTTATAATCAGTCACTGACATGGTGGTCAGAAGAGGCGCTCGCTGATTTATGCAAGCAGGCAAACCCACAAATGACAGTCTAATCTTGAGTTGGCCCTGTGCGTAATTAATGTTCTTAGCCTGGTAACTGAAGTTGACCTCTGTGTGCAGCCCTTCCTTTTTTGCCAGAGGTCCAGAATAGCTCCAGTGTTCAGGGTTGAGGTGAACCGCGGGCTTGCTGACCTGTCCTACACTGTAATTACTCCCCTCTGCTCTGCTGCTTCACTAAGTGGCCAGTGTGTGTTTATGTGAGTGTGTTTCTAAACGTGACAAAATGTAATGGTGTTTTAATAGCACACACACACACACACACACACACACACACACACACACACACACACACACACACACACACACACACACACACACACACGTAAGATAGTGTAATGAAATGTGTCGCTGATCTGGTTTCCTGGGCAGTAATTAGCCTGAGACATTAACAGCAATTATTCTGCAGTTTGGTAAACAATTAGTTTCTTACTCTTCCTTCCACAGATCCTAAAGCAAAAGTAAAGTGATGCTCATGAGATGAGGTCCTTGATAAATAAAGAATATCATGAGCCTTTGCTTCAGTAACTAAAAATATAAGCAACAAAAGAACCTCTGAAAGAGAAAGTGTTAAAGTTTAATGTAAATCTGGCAGGTCAGTGTTATTTATGCAGTTTGTTGTGGGGGTTTATTTTTTCCCACATCGAGTGGTCAGTTATAACTGACCCAGAGTTTCTTGCCCTCTGAAGCCAGGCTCAAAGATCATTCAACAACCGCCCATGCTCTAAAGAACAGAGCCCGACCTCAGTGAGCGCTAGAGCTGCAGTCAAGTGCTCGTGAGCAACAAAACAAACAATCCAGCCTCAAACAGTGTGGGTGGTTTTCTGATCATCAAAACAAAACTGAATGAAAGCAGCAATCACATATCAAATGTCAAGTCTGGAAAAAGGCACTTTAAGGCAAGGGTGATGATTGGACCATCCAGTATTCCCAGGCTATGGCCATTACCATGATTGGCTTTATGCAATATCTGATTGTCTAAGCAAAACAGTGTGCATTAGAGCCACAAGTGTATGCTAATGAATTCTGGTGCATGAAATGAGCCTCACTGATACAGTTACATCCTGCTTTCTAGATCATTGTAGAACAATTATTGATTTTTTGAATGCAGTGTGTTTTGTTTGGTAAAGTGTAGGGTTATTTGCTGTCTTAAAAGCAGCTCTAATGCACGTGTAATTGTAACCATTGTGGAATTTAGACCCTAGAGAGCTGAAGAAGGGAAGGAGAAGTGATGTAGGTTTTCTACAGATATGGGGTTATCAGAGCAGATGCTCTTCAGGTAATGTATTATCAGATACATGAATAACTATAGCAATTATTCAGTGGAGAGAATGGTCGGGTGGGATGAATTATTAATTATCTACAGTGGAAAGATTTGTTGCAGAGTGTGATCTGATGTCAAAAAGAAAAGGGCCATGGCACAGAGAGGGAGGGAGTGTTAGAAGTCCTTCTAGAGAACGGCTGCACAGTACTGCAGGGGTTTAGTATAGAAGTTGCTTGATCTGAGGTGTGACCAAGCAGAGGAGCTGCTGTGCCGCAGGGCAAAAAAGGAGAGCAAGACACATCCTGGTCTAAGGCAAGATGTTTGGTACATTGACTTTTCTCTCTTCTTGCTTCACCTCTTCATTCTCTTTTCTTGAGGCACATATCCTCATATGAGCCCCCTTAGCCATTCTTTTGAGGTCATGTTTTGGGTTTGCAGGCCGTGACCTGACACAGCCAAAAAGGCCACATCTAAAAACAGCTTTTCTTAAGGCAGAAACATGAACACTCCCGGCTGAAAAACAACCCACATGTACTCATTGTTTGCTCAGAAAATAGCTAAGCTGTCAAAGTCCTTTTAATTGTAGAGTGTTTAAATAAGTAACATAAGCAAATAAAGTCCAGCTGGCTGGTTGGCTGCAGATGTGTTCTTTGTGAAACTTATCTTGGCTTTGGACAGTCGGGAACACTGTTACAAGCTGTGCTTCTCTCTCTCGTTCACTCTCCCTCTGTTCTATCGTTGTGATCGTTGTAAAGATTTACAGTGAAATCTCCCTACTGACCCCTGCTGCACAGGTGCTCAATGAATGGTCTGTAAAGTTAATGGGTCAGATCCAGTCTTCCCTTGTAACACACTTCCCTCCACACACTCACACACACACATGCATTACCTCACTTCTCTCTTTCTCAGAGGCTCACACACATCTTCCCGTCTCTCGTTCTGTCTCTTACAATTCAGAGAGGCATCAGGACATGGTTTCAGCTTTATAGGGGCTCTAATCTCAGTGATAATAAAACCTGAATGAATCAGCGAGCAATAGTTCTGCGGTAAGACTGGTGTATGCAATATAACAGGGAACCTGAAGAATTGAGAATCTGTAAATGTGTGTTTATTTCACAGTGTACACATTTGACACTGTTAGTTCTGTCCTTCAACACAAGAACGTTGTGGAGATGTAAAGAAATAGAAGCTTTAAAAGGCCTTCACACCCACACAGGTGTTGTCACCTATGTTGCTTGATTAGAGCTCCTCTCAGGAGTGTGTGGGTGTGTACTAACCATATATACAGTCCATGGTACTACCTGGGCTTGGCTGACATCTTTCTCACTCTACTGTCTTATTGCAACTGTTAGGGTAGTTAAATATGTCATAGTTATTAGCACATACATAGTTTGGTGATAATTGTCTTCATGAAGGGGAAGGAGATATTTTAAGCACCATGAGGTGAAAGTGCCATTCATTTCTCTAGACAACTTCATGCAATTGCCTCCTGGAGCACATAGCTTTGATCGACTAAAATCTCACCATATTGTAGTATATTGACCCTTCTGGTAAGCTACAATTATGAACAAATCTATTTAAAGCTGAAATAATTCAAGCTGTTGGTCATAACAACACTTTCTGTTTGTTACAATATTCAGAAGAGTCCCATGTTTCTTAAGTCACATGAGGACACCATTGAAATAACATTTTGAAATAGGAGCACATTTGCACAATTGGCCTCTTCAACATTTCAACTCTACAGAACCAACTTCAGCTTCTCTTTTGTGGATGTGAGGAACCTTAAACAAATACTGGACGAAACTCACTGAAATAATTATTTAGTTAATTAAAAATATATGAAATTATCTGTGCTTTTTTAATTTTTTACTATTTATCTTTGCTTTTTTGCTGTAAAAGGAATCAGTTCTTAATCAGAATTCTTTAACTCTTCCTCTTCTTCTTCTTCTTCTTCTTCCTCTTTTTCTTCTTCTTCTTTTTCTTCTTCTTTGTTACATATATGTGCAAACTTGATACTTTTAGTGGCTGCTTTTACCTCATTTCTTTCTGCAAAGATTTGAATCGCCCTAAAAAATTATAGTGTTTTTCATCAATATATTATAGGTCTCAGATATATACAAAACCTGGCTCTGAAGTGTTTGGCTCCAAATACCAAACAGATCCTGCATTGTAGCATCCCATAATCCCCTCTGTTTCAGCCCTGTTTCAAAAGTGCTAATTCTGTGTCTGTTACTTCAGATGAAAATAAGGACCCCACGCCCCTCTGAGAGATATTTGGTTAAAGAAAAACACAATAGCCGCGTTCACACCAAGTACTTTCCTGTACTTAGTTCCGGCACTAAGAGCCCTGGCGCTTTTAACCCCAGGGTACTTAGTACAGATCGCGTTCACACCGGAGTACTTTTCCCTGAGGGAAGATTACAAGTACAGTAGGTGGCGGTAAGCACCTTAAAGTTGTTTGCAACCCGCTACAAAACAAGAGAAGAAGAAAAACTGATACAGGATCTGTTTAATCGCCATGTCGGTTTTCTTTATTGCACTCTCAAGACATAACATTAAATAGAAATATTTTAAATGTAACTAAAGTGTCAGTTGTACATGTCAGTAAACATTGTCAATATAAAATAAAGTGTCAGTTGTACTATATAATAACAGTAATAACAATATAAAATAAACTCCCAGCTGTAGGGAGTCTCAGCAGCAAACCCACCTTTATTATATATCTTCCTGAGACCCACTGCATCCGTCTGCCATAAACACTATGCAAACATACATGTTAGTTTTGGCCCATAGTGGACTCCATGTTGTGTTGTGTGAAATGGGGGGGAATTAAAAGTTTAGGTCAAATAATATTTAAAATGATATAAATTATCATATTTGTGTATGTGCCCCTGCCATTCCCCCACAAGGTTGCAACATTGATGATAAATAAATGACAAATAAAGCTTTGCCAGTTTATAACCGATGAAACATGATGGTATCAG